TAAGTAAGAATTGAGATGAAAGATGGCCTAGTTTGCCTTCCTAAAATAATCATTCTGGGAGGGGAGCATCCTCAGAGTTTCTGGTCACTTAGTAAGTGCATAATAGATGCTTCCTGTAGTTAGTGGTAAGAGGTGCAGTGCTAAGGTAGCTACTTATTGACATGACACGAACTAAAGGGGTGAGGTCTTTAAGCCAATGCAATCCAATCTAATCCAATCCAATTCAATCCAAGCAGAAGTTATTAAAGAGGGTAAGTCATAAATTTAGGAGAGATGGGGGAAGCATTTGGTAATTCTGAAGGAGGAAGTTTGTGGGTTTTAAGGAATGATGCAGTTCAGGTTTTTTTCTTCTGTAAGATGAGGGAACTAGGGTGTGGGACAAAGAAGGAATTTCCAGTTGAGATTTGGTGGTGGGTCATGATAGTGGAGGTAATTTAGGTTCCTTTCAGGGGTTGAAGGTGGAGGAAATTTGAGTGTTGTTAGGAAAACCTGGGGAAAAGGGATGGGATTACCTCTCTGTCTACTTTGTCATTGGCTTACTGAATACATTTTCATCATTTCCTGAGGAAGTTGCATGGAAAAGTTCTTGCTCCCAAAGACCAAAGCCTCTCCCTACCTCTTCTCCCTAGATAAGCTCCCACTACCCATGTATCTCCTACCTTTTAACTGAATGAGACTTTGTGGAGGGAAAGGATGGGGGTTATCAGGGCAGGGTCTCAGGACCCCAAAATTTCCCTTGAAACTATATCCTCTCTTCCATCCCTCTTCTTACCTTCAGACAGAAGGATGAACTAATTTCTCAGGTTAGCTTTGTGTCTTGTTCTTCTTGCAGAGCCATTCTAATACAGTTCCCTTCTGACGTAACAGATTTTAATATCACATAATCACAGATCTAGAGCTGGAATGGAGCCTTAATGCCCAATAGCCATATTTTATGGGTGAAGAGGCTGGAGCCTGAGGAAAGAAGTCACTTGCTCAAGGAAGGAAAACAAACAAGAGCAGAGTCATTTGAGGATAGGGCAGCACCAATTCTCACCTTCTCAGAAAAAACCTAGCCCCACGTACACTGGTATGTATAATCCAGGTAGGTATAATGAATGAATAATAAAAAAAAAAGGTGCCTACTAGGTGCTTCTACAAGAATCAGGCTACTGGCCAGGGCTCAGGTCACTGACCCTTCTGAGGCCACTGCTTCTAGGTCCTTTCAGCTTCTTGAGGGCTCTTTCAACCAAAAGCAGATTTAGGGATTTTTTTTCAATAGAGGAGGTGAGAGTATTTGAGGAGGGTATGAGGGAGAAATCAACAATGCAGAAGACAAAGTGAGGGTTAGGTGGATACAAGGTTCACTTGTGAAAGGGGTGACATCCCTTTCTGTCCTGTCAAATGTAGAGGGATCAGACTTAATTTGCTTGGACCCAGAGGGCAGAACCAGGATAAATATGGGGAAGATGCAGAAAGCTAGGTTTAGGTTTAATGTCAGAGACAAAATTCTTAACAATTACAACTGTCCCAAAGTGTAATGGGCCACCTAGCAAGGTCAAGTGAAGTCAACAAGCATTTATTAGGTACTTACTCCATTCTAGGCACTGTGGCAAATGATGGGAATACAAACATAGGCAGGAAGATATTCCTTCCACTCAAGGAGTTTACATGGGGAAAGACAATATATAAAAAGAAGATAAAAAGAGATAGGGAGAGAATCCTTCTTGGGAGGACTGGGGTGGAGGTGATGACAGAAAATCTAGGCAGTAAGGAATAGGTCCCAGAGGAAGGAAGATGTGGCTGGGCTGTGCACGTTCCTTAAAATGAAAGTTCTGGGAGGAACTAACCAATCAAAGGAAGAGGTTGGGGGTGGGGATAGAATGAATTTCCAGGGTAAGGAGATTGCTGTGGTGTGGAGGAGAAATTCCAGAGAGTTCACAGTGGCATGTGGAAAAGAATGAAGTGAGGTGGTGAGTTCTACTTCTTTGGAAGTCTTCAAGCAGAGAATAAATATTCATTTGTATGGGTTGCTATTGCAGGGATTCTTGGGTTGGACAATATGGTCTCTGAAGTCCCTTCCAATTCTAAGATTCGGTGATCTCTCTCTAACCTCTCATCTGCTCTCTTTCAGATGGCTCAGGAAACTCTGCCACTGGTCTGAGTGTTTAGGATCTCAGATCACTGATGCCCCTTTCTCCTGGGAGAGTCCTGGGATTCTGATCTCACCGAACCACCATATTCCTTATCCTCTCCTAGGTCCTTCTTTTTCTCCAACATCTTCAAAGGTGTAGGATGCTAATGAATTGCAAGGCAAAGGGATAGAGACCTCCAGAATTCTACAGGGAGGATGCATGCTTTTTCCATGTGGTGGACCCTTCCCAAGGCCCTGCTCCTGCTATCCTAGACACCTCCTTATTTTCAGCTCTTGTCAGTTTCTCTAGTGTTTTTTAATCTCTTGTCACTTGCTTCAGTGTTTCTAGCTCTTGTCAGTTTCCCCAGTGTTTCCAGTTCTTGTCTTTCTATGCTTTCCTCAAGCCCTATGCTAGCAATTCTTCCTCCCCAAGGTGTACTTATGAACTTCTTTTTGTCAAGATCTTTGGAGTAGTGGTTTACTTAGTGTACGAAGTGGTCCAATTAGTGTAACTACTTTTTTAAAGTGTCCACTATTATGAACTCTGTTACCTTTGGCTGTCCTCACCTAGAGGAATTTTTAGAGGGAAGAGTAAGGGAAATAACATATGGCAGCATAGAAATGAATAATAGCTAGTATATATATGTATATTTACACATATATGTAATGTATACATACCTACGTAAGTATAATGTGTGCGTTACAAGAATTGCAAAGTACTTCACATACCTAATCTCATTTGATCCTAACAATAACCATATGAGGAAGTTTTTATTGTTATATTCCTTTTATGGAGGGGAGAAATGACGCTGAGAGAGGAAACATGACTTACTTAGGGTCACACGACCAGTAAGTATCTGAGGTAAGTTTTGAACAGAGTTCTTCCTCACTCCAAGTCCAGCACTATCCACTACACCATCTAGCTTACAGTAAAAGATCCACAGGAATCAGAAGACCTGGGTCCTGGTCCTACTTCCGTTCTATTCATTTTAAGAAGTCTTTCTTGAGCTCTTACTCTGTGCTCACATGATATTGAGTGGCATAGACAGCCCACAGAGTTGTTCCATAAGTATGTACCTTAGCACATAAATAAGTACCTTAGACAGCCTTTGCAGATGACAATCAATTGACGATAGAATCGGACAGGATAAATACAGTCAAATCAAGTCATTAACAAGCATTTATTAAGTGCATATTAACACAGGCACTGTGTTAAGTCTTAGGGATATAGATAAAAGCAAAAACAGTCCCTGTTGTCAAGATGCTTACAACCTAATGGGGGTTGTGGTTGTGGTCTGTCCTTCATTCTTGAAGCAGACCATGACATCAGGAAGATGTTGCCTCTTTAATAAAAAAATTGGGGGAGACAACACGTAATTAACTATGTATGAAGAGTGTAAATAGAAAAGAGTCACAGAGAGAAGACACTTGGATTAAGGGGGTTTAGGAAAGGCTTCTTGAAGAAGGTGAGATTTTCTTTGGGTCCTGAAGGAAGCCAAGGGAGGCAGGAGGTGGAGGAGGAGGGAGAGAGTTCTAGGCATGAAGTAACAACCAGAGAAAATGGCTGAAGTTGGGAGATGGATTGTCTTAGTAGAGGAATAGCAAGGAGGTCAGTGTCCTCCTCGCAACTGGATCATAGAATATATGGAGGGAAGTAAAGTGTAAGAAGATTGAAAAGATAGGAAAGGGCCAGGTTATGAAGGGCTTTAAAAGCCAAACAGAGGATTTTATATTAGATCTTGTGGTAATAGGGAGCCACCAGAATTTATTGAGTGGAGTGATATGATCAGACCCATGCTTTGGGACTGCATTTGTGAGCTTGTTCAATGTTTTTATGACTCTCAGATTCCTTCCTAAAACAAAACCATCCTTTTAACCACCAACATTCTGCTGGCAGTGTTATATGTCTACAAATCATGAAAAATAAAAGTTTCTAAAGAATTAAAATGAAGCCCACCCAAAGGACACACATACACACACACACACACACACACACACACACACACACACACACACGATGTTTAAGTAGTTTGCAGCATATCTCCAACAAAGAATGGCAAACAATAAGAAGGCAGTATAACCAGAAAAAGGATTTGTCAGTCATGTGTTGAGAATGAAGGATAATGGATGGGCAGCCTGTGAATTTCAATGGTATCTATGTGATATCAAGAGAATACCTAGAAGAAGGAAGAGCTGGGATCTATGGGAGGAAATGACAGAAGTAGATATCTGATCAATGTAAAGAAAATTCTTAATTATTCCGGCTATCCTGAAGCGAAATGGGCTGCTTCGGGGGTAGTGGCTTCCACATCACTAGATGTCCTCAAGCAGAGATGGCTAAGTTCCTGTTAAGGATTGTGCACAGGGGATTCTTGGCAGGTCCAGGATGAACAAGACAGGCACCAAGGCCCTTCCAGGTGCTGAGGCTGTCTGTTTGTGGGAGAAATATGAGCAACTTAACCTTGTTGGTCATAAGGTAAGAAACACACACATATCTAATGGTGCCCATGCTTTTACAGTGGATGTCCTCTATGATAGATTTTTGGGTCTATTAGGAGACCTAGCACTTTCTAAATTCAAGAACCATTTAATGTGTCCATGGAACTGAGCCAACCCTCACCCACTTTCTTTTTGTACTCCCCCACAACACCTGATGATGACTCTGCTCAAGAATTTCCTGCCCTAACCACAAACCCCATCTCACTTCCACTCTCAGTGTTGCCAAACATGCTCAAGTTCTGTCTAGCAAAAAACAGCTCAATGAACAATGATGAGGGCAGGGCCAATCCTAGGCAGGGTGGAAATGAGGGGTGGGTCCAATACATCCATATATGGACCTTATTTCACTTTTGGCCACTACCAGGATGCTGAGTTTGGAGAGCAGAGCTTGCTCCAATTAAGGTGTGGTTGAGCATGACAGACAAGTGGAATGGGATGGAGAGTCAGAGGAGGAAGGGACCTTTCTCACCCTTGCTGCTTATCCTAGGGGCACAGGCTTTCATGGGGATCCAGGCAGGTGAGTCCAAGGAGCAGGTGGGTAGGAAGATGGAGGATATTGGGGTCTGGTTTGATAGCAGAGATTCAGACCCTGCTCTTATATGATATGAAAGACATCCAGAGAGTCAAACTAACAAGGAAATTATGACTAGGACCATCAGGGCAGGAAGTGATTTTGATGGAATAATGCTTCTCCCCCAGTCCATTACAATTAAATCAAGGTTTTATATGTAAAATTATTTTATGGTGTCTTCTTCAAGTGACCAATCCCCAGTAAGAATTTAAAGGGTTTGGGGCTGGTCTGGGATTGAAGCCACAAGGACAGTGAAAGGAGAGAGGGATGAGAATTAACAGCCTTTGGTTAAGGTGCTGTAATGTACAGGACCTACAGAAACTGGAGAAGAAAGTGGCTGAGAACTGCTAAGTTATCAAAGAAAGAAGGGCTAGATGAAATGGAAGGGGCGTCAACTAGGAGAGCATTTAAAAAAAATGGAGGAGAAAAAAAAGAGGAGGCTGAGGAGCAATGTCTCACAGGCGGGACCCACACTTCACTGAGTGCCCACTTGGTGATCCATGCAAAATAACTTTGATTTGATTTCTTTTTGTTTGGCTCACCTCTTATTGAGGTGACTATTTCTTTCTGAACCAAAGGCACCTGCAGGGTTCAGTTAACACCTACTCCACAGGGTTGTGGAGATTCTCAGAGGAGACCCTGCCAGTAAACACTTTGTAATTTTAAAGTCTCATAGAAATGTCAGTGACAGTTGTGATTACTATTGTTTTGATTTGTGATTTCATCATTCTAGGACACTCCTAAGGAGGAATCAAAGGTCGTTACTTGTTCTGAAACTGATTCTCTGAAACTCAGGGAGTTGTTGCATGGCCACTGAGAGCTAAAGGACTTGAGTACTATGTGTCAGAGGTAGGACTGGAACCCAGGCCTACTTGATTTGAAAGTGGGCTCTCTATCACTATACTGTGTAGCCCTACTTGAGACCTCTATGACTATTACTATCATGGCTTCTACTACCAGCAGGACAACATGCACATCATTCCTCTTGTCTATCTGCTCTTAGAGTTGCACTGATGTAGTTTTCAGAGAACTTGCTTTGGAAGGGTTTGCATTATTGTACTTTTATTTAGGTACAAAATGCACTAATATTGTCCACTTGTACAAGAGTCCCTAGCATATTATAGATACAAGAATGAGAACAGGACAGTGACTTGTCACAGGACCATTTCTTTCTGAACTCCATTGACAACATCAAAGAGAATGAGATGATAATTATGGTAATCAAAATAGATATGAAAGCAATGCTTCCCTTGGATGTTGGATAACCCAGGAAGAAGTTGACATCTACATTTGTTTTTGGGGATCCTTAGATCCTGGATCGAGGGGGCTATCTTGGCAGTGAAGTAGTGCAGGGGATAGTGCCAAGTTTCTGGAGTCCTGAGTTTGAATCGGGCCTTGGACTCTTAATAGCTGTATGACTCTGGGCAAGTCACGACCTATTTGCTTCAGTTTCTTCATCTGTAAAATGGATATAGTAATGGCACTTACTCTGCAGAATTGTTGCGAGGAACAAATGAGATAATAATTGTAAATCACTCAGCACAGTACTTGATACACGGTAAGAGTTATGGAAAAATTTCATCATTATTATTATCATTATTGTTAGGTAGATCAATAATTTACTAGGAAAAAGGCTAAAGAAGGCATATTTGGAGTCCTAGCTGTCAGGGGATAGCCCCTGTTGGTTAAAACATAAAGGATATTCTTTACAAGCAATGAGGATTTAAAGATGTAACCATTGGTCTCTGAGGCTTTCATATTTGTTTCAAGTGGACCAGTGGCCCATCTTAGAATCTGCAGTGTAGATTTAGAGCTATAGAGGACCTTCAAGATTATCGAATTCAAACCTTTCACTTTACAGATGAGGAAACTGAGGCCCTGAGAGATCAAGTGACTTGACTATGATTACACATGTAGTAAACATCTGTGCTCCTTGCTGAGGACAGAGTCCAGCCCAACGTCAAGCACACAGAAGCAAAATAAGGGGCTTTGGGAAAATAACAGCCAGAGACTATACCTGATAGTCAGATCTATGGATGCCCCTATGGGAAAATCCTTGAAAAAAAAAAGGATCAGTGTCCACATCAGTTCTGGACTCTCTTTCCTTTATTTTCATTTTTATTTTAACTCTGTCATTGTGGCTCAGTGGGAAACTGATCAGCTCAGGAGTCAGGTTGATCCGAGTTAAATTGCTGCCTCTGACATACTCGTTATGCAATCATGGGGAAGTCAAGTAATGCCTTACTTTTCCAGGAAGCTGCCCAGAACTAAAAGTTCTGGCTTAGTTGTTGATATACATCCATGGAGGGAGTTTCCATATTGGAGACTCCCCACACTGGTGAAATCACAGGCTAGCCAAAAAAAAAAATTGACCCTAGAACCACCAATTCACCCTAGGGTTCCAATGATGTTTTGTGTTCTTGTTATCATGTTTAGCCACCAGGGGGCATTCTGGGTTTTCACTTACTCTGACCCATTTTAGACATACTATACTTTTTCCTCTTAGTTCAATGGAGACAAATTTTGATTTTTTTCAAGACACTTTATTTTGGGTAGCTAAAAAGAAATTAGTGTAATAACAAATGAACTGTCAGCATACAGGCTTATTTTCCTAACTTCCTTAATGTTTGGCTGTTAATTGGATTGTTTGGTACAATTTATGGGATCCCATAAGGGTTTTTTTTTTTTGATCTGACCATCTTGACTGGGTAATGAACTACAAAGTCTCCCCTTTCATTCCTCAGGAACTTCTCCTTCTTATTACTTTCTTTTACCTCCATTCCTTTAAGGATGATATAGAAGGGAAACTCTTGCCTTCAGATATATTGTAATTGATTATTTCTTGGTTTAGCATCCATTAGGACTCTAGGTCCATTCAAACTTGGAATTGAAGCCCTTCATTTTTTCCCCCATCCAAGATGTTCCATCTCATCCTGGTGAAAGGTAAAAGGCACATTCCTCCAACTCTATGACCATCAATTGCCATGTTGTCAACTCTTTCCAGTACCTTTCAAAGGATGGGAACAGCCTTAGAGACAGAGTTTGAAGGGATCCTAGAAGCTCTTCTAGTCCAGCCCAGGCAAGAATGAGGACTCCCATTCTCCATAACATCTTCCAATAAGTGGTCTTTCAATCTCTGTTTGAAGACCTTCAGTGATAGTGATCTCACTGCATTTTTAAAAGAACAGGGACTATTTAGCTTGTAGAAGAGAAAACTAAATCAAAAGTAGTGACGGTGAGTTTATAGACAGCTATATTCTAATGTTTAATCGAATATCATGTGAAAGAGAGAATAAACTCTTTCTCTTTGGCATCTAGAAGGCAGAACCAGTATTATTAAGGGGGAAGTTTGAAAGATGCACCTTTAGGCTTAATGTTAAAGAAAAAAACCATACAATGCATTCCAGGAAGATGGCAGAGTAGGCCAGAAATTTCCAGGTTCTCCTGATTTCCTCCACAAACAGAAAATCACAATGAAATGAATATGGAGCAGCAGAAATAAAGGTGTTTTGAGAGGAACTCAGAGAGGACTCCAGGGGCTGAGATTATTAGAGTTATTAAACTACCTATACACTTTGATCCAGAAATAACACTACTTGGTCTATTCTCAAAGATGATTAGGGAAAAAGGACAACAACCTGTACATCCTAGAGCAGGGGTGGGGAACCTGCAGCCTTGAGGCCACATGTGGCCCTCTAGGTCCTCAAGCGCAACCCTTTGATTGAATCAAAAAAAGAGCCACACTTGAGGACCTAGAGGGCCACATGTGGCCTCAAGGTTGCAGGTTTGGTCTGTGGAGGTTGAATTCAGTCAAAGTCCCAAATTAACTATAAAGGGCATATGAAGAAAGATATTGTCTTCATCCAGAGAAAGAACTGATAAATAGAAGTATGTATAGATTAATTTTACATATATGTGTGTATACACACACATATGTACACACACACACACACACACACACACACCTATTTGTGTCTAATGGTAGCCATCTCCAGGGTAGGAGGGGGGAGAGATGAAAAAAATTTAAAAAAATTTACATGATAATTTTGTTGTATATTTGAAAGAAATAGCAAGCTGTGCATAGTAGATTTGCAGTTTCATGCATAATTATCTTTTTTATTGTACTATGTTATGGAAATGCTTGTTTTATTTAACAAATTAAAAAAATATTAACAATCAGAGTTGCCCCAAAACTCCTAGGGTATATTGTAGTGGAGAAACATTGCCAAATTTGGGTTGGACTGCTCCTTTTAACTCTGAATTCTTTGATAGGCAATTTATTAGAATTATGTTTAGTTCTAATTGCTAAAAAATCTTTATTTTGAGATAAAATCTGTCTTCACATAACATCTACCCATTCCTTATAGCCATGCTACTGAGGGCTGTACAAACAACTCTATTTGCTCTTCAACATAATAATCCTTCAAATGTTAGGCTTTATCCTATCATGAGGCTCTTTCTTCCCTTAGTTTTCTCTTATCCATGTGAATAATTTTCTGTTCCTTCAAGTAACCCTTATGTAATATGGTCTTATTATCATCTTAGCTACCCTCTATTAAAGAAGCTTAAGCTTCTGAACATCACTTCCAAAATGTGAGACCCCAAACTGAATCCAATAACTGAGCCGTGATATCATAGTTGTCTGGAGTAGTGTGGAAGTAGTCCTGGACATCACGTTTCCATTCTTGCACTTTAAGACGGCATTAGATTTTTGGCAGTCACTTATTGATTCCTATTGACCTTGAAGTCAATCAATCAATCAATGAAGCATTTGCTATGGACCAGGCACTGTGTTAAGTTCACTAAAGCCTCTTAGTTCTTTTTTTCATATTTACCATTGCTGGTTCACTAACCCTGAACTGCAGTCAGTTTTTGGAATATGTTTAGACATTTCTTCATGACAATGGTCTATGCATGAATTTGTAGGATTAAAATATCATAGATTCCCTAATCCAACTTCTTCATCTGCATGCTTAAATCAACTCAATATTTTTAGCACCTACAATGAGTAAGGAAGCTAGTTGGTCACCTAGATGGTGCGATGGATACAGCGCTGGGCCTGGAGTCAGGAAGACTCATCTTTCTCAGTTCAAATCTGACCTCAGACACATACTAGCTGTGTGACCCTGGGCAAGTCACTCAACTCTGTTTGCCTCAGTTCCTCATCTGTAAAATGAACTGGAGAGACAAATGGCAAACTACTTCAGTGTCTTTGCCAAGAAAACAAAGAGTCAGACATGACTGAAACAACTGAACAACCACAGTTATATCAGAGCCTGTATGTTGTCATGATGAAGCCCCTTTACCAACCTTAAAGAGTTATATACATTTGAGTTTTATTATTTTACTAATATCACTATAATTTTCGAGCCTGGTTCTATCATCCAACATATTAACTATTCCTCCAAATTTGGTGTTATCTAAAATTTTTATATTCATGACCTTTATGCTTTTGTCAAATCTATTATAAAAATATTGGATAGGACCAAGGACAGAGGTTTGAGTCTTTCCTAGAAACCTTCTTCCATATCTACATTGAGATGTGAATCACTATCCCTTATGTCCATTCATTTAACCAGTTCTGAAACTACTGAATTTCACTCACCTCATATATATCTCTCAGTCTCATATATAGGAATGCCATGACAGACTTTGCTAAATGCATGGCTGAAATACAGGCAATATGCCTCTGGTTTTTTATTTCATCTTCCAGTCTGGTAATCCTGTTGACAAAGGAAATGAGTCTAGCATTGTTTTTGTTAAAGTCTGGGTGGATTGCACTGATATTTTTGAAATGCTAGAAAATTGTCTCTTCTATGCATTTTGAAATTTTCCTAGAAGCCAAAGTTGAGTACACTGGCATATTATTAGAAGAACCTACCTTCCCACTTTTTGAGAATCAGGAGAATGTTTGCTCACTTCCAAGGCTAGGGACCCTTCTCTGCTTGACAGTCTCCTAGAACTTGTCCACACCTACTCAGTAAGCATATATGCTTGCTATGAGGATATTCCTTTCCATTCTTCTGGTTTTCCCTGAATTTTTAGCACCACATAGCACAACCAGAGAGAGAGGAGAGGAAGTACCTAGAAACTGAAAAACAGGAGATATAACTAGAACATTTTAAAAGACAGACTAGATCACATGTCTATATGTTACCAGAGATTTGGACATGGTTAGAACCACAATGAATCAATAAGGCTTGCCAATTCTGCCTGCTGTGTGGTATGTCAGGAGCTAGGGGTCACTTGGCATGGTGGCAGACTCCTTGTCAATGTGACAGGTGTCTGGGGTGTTAGAGCTGTGACTGCTCTCTGAAGTAGAGAGATGAGCAGGATATGCCTGAGGACGGTCAGAGGAGAATCAGGGCAGTGACTTTGCAGTGGGAGTTTGTGGGAACTGGAGAACTCCAGAATCACCAGGCACAGGCAGGTAGCAGACACAAGAGTCAGTTTAGGGCTGCCATTTGGGGTGTGAGGTGAGATCATGCCTTTTCTCTTGTATAAGAATATAGCAACTGGGGAGAGGGAATGAAGATGAGAAACAAATTATAGTCTCAATTGCCAATCAACACCCAACTGGTTCCCTTGGGAAAGAACATTTAGCTTTTTCTTAATTCTCATCCTTGTTGACCTCCATAGCATTTTACACTATTGACCAACCTCCTTCCATTCATATTCCTTTAATAACATCCCAAGCTGATGCTTTACCTATTCTTTGATTTTTCTCCTGTTCCAACTGTGCTACAAAGCTCTCTCTTTGTCCATAGTCAATGTAAGGTTTAACTCCTTTTACCTTTCAATATTCCTAATGTTCTTAAAGAATCATATACTTTCACATCCATCCTCAGTTACCTAGTCTCAATTCCACATTTTTGCACATCTTTTAAAAATCGAGGTTGTGTCAGGAATTTTTTGTGCCTTTTTAGGTAGTTCCCCTTCCCCAATCCCATACCCTTTCCTTCAGCATTGGAGTCCTTTATATTTGTGTCATCAGAACCTTATTCCCGAGAGCAACCCATCCCTCTTAAACCAACTCCTTTCATGGAAATATAGGCCAAAGGGTACTGTATAACTTTTATCTGAATTCTAAAATACTCTCTTCTATGTCTAAGGTACATGTCAGACTAGCCAAATATTTCCTATTCTAAGCTATCATAATAATGGCTTCCATTAATATAGTGCTTAAAGTTTGCAAAGCATTTGGCATCCATTTAATTATTTGATTCTCATAGCATCTCTTTGAGGTAAGTACTACAGGTATAATTGTTCTCATTTTATTGATAAGGAGATTGAGTCTCAGAGAGATCAAATAAATTTCCCAAGATCTCATAGCTGATAAATTTCAGGGCCAGGATTGGATCCAGGGCTCTGCTGATTTCAAATTCAGTACTTGTTCCACTGGACCATGCTGATAGTGTGATATCTGATATCCAAACTTCCCACCGTTTCTGCTTCAGCAAGCCTCTTCCCCATCTTAGTAAGAATCTAGCTCATAATAGCAATTTGCCTCCTTAATGTTTGCACTTTCTGAAATATATAATCATCAGCAAGACAAGACAAGGTTTCGTAGCTGTTCTGATGTAAGAGAGAAGCATTCCAGCAGTTGTCTGCATGGCCAAAGTCAGTTACCACTATATATAATATATAATATATAACATATACCACTATATGTTGTCTCCATGACAGCTTTGTGATTTGTTTCCAGAACTCATCATCTGGTTCCTCCTTCTGGCTAGTCAGAAAGTGCTGATCTGAATCGATAGTTAACAACAAATACTTATTAAGCACTTACCATGTGCCAGGGACTGAGCTGAGTACAAACACAAGCAAAAAGCAAGATAGGCCCTGCCCTAGAGGAGCTTATATTCCAGTGGGGAGACAACAGATAAAATGGAGCTGAAAAAGGTGTGTTTGGGAGGGAGGAGAAGGTAGCCCCATAGAATCATGGTGGGGAAGTCTGCAGAGTCAAGATTGGAATTAGATGGAGAGGAATGAGCATGGCTGGCTTGGGCATTTCATCAAAATGGAGATTCTAGGAGGAATTCATGAATCAGAGGATGGAGTCTAGGGGCACAGGGATTTTCCTGGATGAGAATGTTGCTGGGGCATGGTGGAGAAGTCCAGAGAGTCAAAAGGAGAACCTGGAGAGGGGAAGTTACTCACTGTAGTTCCTTATACTTGTGGAATCTCAGATGTAGAAAAAAATCAAGGCCAAGGACATTATCACATTTTGCTTGGAAAAAACAGGCTATCAATTAATCCTCTCGGATGACATACTTGCCTCTACTGATTGCAATGTTGACATAAGATCAGATCAGGATACATACATCATACATATACATATACGTTCTAAGCCCTCATTTTGCAGAAGGGGAAACTGAATCTCAGAGAAAGAAAATGATTTCCTCAGGCAGCAAATAAGCCAGACATCACATCCTGGTTCTGTGACTCCAAATCCATTTAAATTTCAAACTTTCTCAATCAGATCAAACAGCTTCTCCTGGCCATGTCCGGGAGGAATCTTAGGGAGCTGTGTATGTTTGTGACTCTAGACAGTTTTACAAAATAGTTGCACAAATTCATTTCGTGTACTGAGGGACCAAAGGTGGGACTTTCCCTGTAGGTTTCCCTTATCAGAGGGACATTAAACACAAGAATATACACGGGGCAAAAGTCCCTGGTAAACAAACGTACATGCAGCCAATATTTCTGACTGTACTTGACTGACCATTTCCCTGTCTCCTTATGCTGTATTGCTATAGGTCTAAAGGAATGTGATAGATAAGTCTCTCATACACCAGCATCTTTGTTGTGTTCCCACTTTCTTAGTTCAGCTGAAGCTCCTCCCTCCCCACTCTGTGTTGTTGTTTAGTTATGTCTGACTCTTCATGAGCTGTTTGGGGTTTTCTTGGCATTGATACTAGAGTGCTTTGCCATTTCCTTCTCCAGATCATGTTACAGATGAGGAAACCGAGGTAAACAGGGTAAAGTGATTTACCCAGGGTCACACAGCTAGTGTCTGAGGCCAGATTTGAACTGAAGAAGATGAGTCTTCTTGACTCCAGGCCTGGTGCTCTATCCACTGTACCACCCAGTTGTATTCGAGACCCATTCTGTACTAATACTAATATTTATGCAATCCTCTCTGCTCTTCCCTAAATGCATCTCAATACTGAGGAGGGGGTCAAGGCTGGTACAGTGCTTACATTATCAATTACCATCTTCTGAATAAACTGAATTCAGATTGAGCCATCCTGTAGGCCTAGTCCTATTCCAGGCCTGGATGGAAAGAATATCGGATGTCTTGTCCTCTTCTGAATTGTCTTGCTCCCCTAGTTTTAATTTCATTTCTTGTGGTGGGAGCTTATAGGATCTTAAGACTAGACATTTAGAGATAGAAGTGGACCTTTGAGGCTATTGATTCTAGCCCCCTCATTTTACAGATGAGGACACTGAGGCACAGAGAGGTTAAATGATTTTCTCAGGGTCACAGGATAGTAGGTGTCTGATGTAGGATGTGAATTGGGGTTTTTCTGACTCCTAGTCCAATGCCCTAGCCATGGTACCACCTAGCTGCCTCCCATGTAGCAGGACAGAGGGATAAGTGAGAGAAGGCATGAGGGTTCTGGGTCCCCACATACCTGATCTCCTTTTCTCTTCCCCTCTCTTCCTGTCCTGTAGCTCACCATAAGCATGAGGTACAGTTCACAGTAGTGGGCACAGGAAACTCCCTCTTGGACCTCACCATGGTGGATTTTGTAGATGACATGCAGGTGTTCCTCTATGACAAACAGAACAGCCAGCTCATGGCCAAGGAGGCCTGGATCTCCCAGGTCCTGGGGGCCAAGTTCAGGGAGAAGACTCAGCAGAAGTTAATAGACCATGAGAAGAGCTTCCTCTGGTTCCTGAAGAAATTGAGACTGAATGACACCAACAGTGACAGTGAGTCAGCCTCTCTCTTCTTTCCACTAATCCTTCCCTCCCCTCTACTTTCTTTTGCTTTTCTCTTCATTGAACCCCATGGTTCCCCTTTGTAGGAGACCATGATATTGGGCTGAGGCTCAGGATCAAAGATCTTTCGGGGGGGGGTACCAAGACTTAGGCCTCACTGAATTGCATCTGTTTCCTGGGGTACTGGCTCCTCCTCTTGGGAATGGTCCAAAGGGTCTTTGCCTCCATCCTTAGAATTGTCCCTTCCTACATTTTCTCAACTCCAATTTGAAGCAGTTATTCTCGTGTTCCTCCAGAATTTACCGTCATCCTGTGATTTCAACCCTTTTCCTACTGAATTCGACCCAATGCTCATTCCACTCTACCCCTGCCTCCAAATCTCCCCTCACAGAGAACATCACACTGCAGCTCTTCGTAGTTTGTGAACCTCAGAGAGACAGCGACATAGGCAACCAAATCAAGATTGCTGTGGATGGCGAGGATTTCTGCTGGCTGGATGAGATCGGACAATGGTTTTTCATGATGCCTGAGGCTGAGTCCTTCAAACCTATTCTGATGAGTACCTTCTGGGCCAATCAGAAAGCATACTACATGCAGGAATATTGTTATGGCATCATGAAAAAAATTCTGCAGCACTCAAGCAGAAAGAAGAATGGTGAGTCTCTGATCCTGCCTATCTCCAACCAGTTGGTCCACGCTATCTCGGCATTTTCTAGGTAGTAGCTGATGCTCTCATGTGGGAAATGAAAGAACTGTATTTTAATCCTGGCTATAGCTCTAGTTACCCTCAGAAAGGTAAAGGACTGTTGTTCTGTATGCTTTTGCTCAAGGGAAGAAAGCCATTCTCTAATGTGTCATTATCACATGGAGGTGACCACGGGATGTGTAGGGCCACACTTGCTGAGTGCAAGCTCTGTTTCATCCCATCAGGCACAAAGGCAGACTGGGTCTCCATCTTAAATAAAAGTGGTAATGTTTACTACCAAAAGAGAAAGTACCACATAATGAAGATTTGGGGTTGTTTTTGACAACAGCTGCTGATGCAGTGCCATCTACTAAGGTGGAGAAACACAGAATTGCTGAATTTGAGAGTTGGAAGAGACCTCAGTGGCCATAAATGTCACCCTGATACCTGAAAATCAATTCCTACTATAATGTATTTGACAAATGGTCCTCTAGTCTCTGACTGAAGCCTTATAAGGGAGGGGAATCCATTGCCTCTTAAGGGACCCCATTTCACTTAGGGAAAGCTCAAGTTATTAGGAAGTTCTTCCCAACCACCAGCCTAAATTGACCTCTTTGTGATTCCCCCCACTCTACTACACTTGCTTGTCCCTGCTGGTTTCTAATCAAATGAGTCTAAGGTCTTCTCCATGTAACAACCCTCCAGCTATCATATCCTGAATGCCCCACACCAAAGATTTCTCTTCTAAAGGCTAAACATTCCCAGTTCTTTAATCAATGTTCCTATAGCATGGACTCCAAGCCTTCGCCATCCTGGTTGACCTCCTCTGGACACCCTCTAGTTTATTAATGACCTTTTTATTTAGTGGTGTCAAGAACTGAACTCAGTACTCCCTATGTGAGTTGATAAGGATAAAGCAGAGAGGAAAATCATCTCCTCATTGGTGAAAAGCCTCTTTGAATGCATCCTGAGATCCCATGAGCATTTTTTTGGTTGCCATATCAGAATGATGATTCATCTTAAGCTTGAAGTTCATTAAAATTCCCAGATAATTTTTCAGAACAACTTTTGTCTTGCCATGCCTCCCCCATCTTTCACTTATGAAGTGCATTATTTAACCAACTTCACATTTATCTCAATTGAATTTCATCTTACTAGACTCTGATCAATTGTTTAGCTTGTCAAAGTCTAGATAGACTCTGCCATCCAGGGTTTGAGATCCATCTCTCACCTTTTGTGTAATTTTCAAATTTGGTAATGATGCCGCCTTTGACTTTTTTCCCATCATTGATAAAAATGTCAAACTTCAGAGTCAAGCATGGATCGCTGGATCCCTATACTGCCAAGCTGACATTGAACCATCGCAACTGTGCTTTAAAATCTAACCATTCAACCAGTTTTTAATGCATTCTAACTATCTTGTAGCCCATACCTCTCCATCTTTTCCACATGGATAGCATAACACTTTATAGAATGCTTTGCTGAAATCTCAGTAAACTCTGTCCACAGCATGCTCCACATCCAATAGTTGAGTAATTCTGTCAAAAAAGGAAATGAGTACTTTGGCATGATCTGTTCTTGAGAAAGCCATGTAAGCCCTTGACGATCACTGCTTCTTTTTCTGGATGTTCACCAAGAATTTTAAAAAAATAATTCTCGAGTTTCTCTGGGAATCCAAGTCAAGCTCAGTGGTCTGAATTTTCATACTGTTTTCTCTTCCTCTTTTGAAAATCAGGAAATGTTCCCATTCCCAGTCCTGTGGTAGGTGCTCCATTCTCCACTGTTTTTTATGTCACTGACAGTAAATAAGCCATCACATCTGCCAGTATTTTTCATTACTCCCAAAATGTTGTTCATCTGGGACAGGTGATTTGACTTCATCAACAGCAACCAGGTGTTCTTTTATAATTTTCTTACTTGTCTGGGGGTATCTCTCTCTCCCCCACCCACCTTAGCCTTTTTTTGCTTAGGCATTCCTAGTGTAAAAGTCATTCTCTTTTGAAAAGAAAATAGAAGCATAAAAATAACTGAGCAGCTTTGCCTTCTCTCTCTTTAGTTATCATTATTCCATCCACCCCCAAGCAGTGATCCTATCTCATTTTAATGCTTTTTTTTTTCTCCAAATAGCTTAAAAACATCATTTTTATTGTTATTCTTGCTTTCCCTCACCAGGTAAAGCTCATTCTGAGCCTTAGTATTACTCATCCTACCTTTACGTGACAATGCCATTGTCACCTATTACCTGCCCTTGCTTATATATTCTGCATTTCCCTGTGTATCTGTATCAGTCTGTTCAGACAACTCTCCTTTTCCCCTCTTCATCAGAATTGTTACCCTTTGCTTCTTCACCGTTTCATTTTATAACATCTCCCATGCCTCCTGGGTGTCCTTCCTCTTTAGAATTTTGATCCATGAAGTCCTCCTTAGTTTCTTCTGAACTCTTTGAAATCTCCTCTCCTAAAATATAAAGTACATGTCAGACTAGATCTATAGTTTCTATTCCAAAGTCTAGAAGATAATGTTCATTTTCACTCGGGGTTCCTATCTCTGCAACCCAATTGTGTGCTAGTAAATTCTTAATAACTGACTGGGGTGGGGAATATGCATAAGTTTTTAAGTTTAATTTATATTATATATACTTTCTCCATCAATTTTTTTAAATCTAGCAAATCAACAAAACAGTCACAAGACAATTAGCAGCATTTATTGATTTCTAAGGTGTAATTGATCATGTTGAAAATTTAAACCTGTATATTTAAATCTGAGGGTTTAAATTTAAACCTGGCTCTTAACCTCTGTTTCTACCCCCAGAAACCAGTCCTTTATTAGTGAGAAAATGATTCTGAAAAATTTCTTTTATTGGTTTCTTTACAATTTAAAGGATGAAGTTATCGCTAAGTCAAGTCACCATGTTATTAGCTATTGTGCTTTTGGTAGAGAGAGATTCAGTGGATGTCTGGACAAGGGTCACACATCACTGCTGTAGCATGCCTCTGTTAGGGGGAGTTTGTGATCCTGAGGGCCTGTGATCCTCATCACTGAAGGGAATAAGCACATATATGAAATCACTGATCTGAACACTGGAGAATATTGAAATATTGAAGATGATTCTGGCTTTTAACTCGTTGACTTCTTGTTAGGTTAAAAATCTGGTGACATCTTTGTCATGAGTATCAACAAACATTTATTGAAGGCCTACTGTGCAAAGGGGAGAATGGAGCAGTATAAAGTGGGTACAGAGGGGTTTTAGAATGAATAATGTATTATTCTGCCCTCAAAGACCTTATAGTTTGCTGGGTCCTAGGGGCTGTGACAATAAGGGAAGTGAAGGGAGGGAGAGACAGAGTAATGGAAAATAAACATGGAGATTTGTGCATGCTGTCTTCTCTAACCTTTGTCTTCAGTGCCCCCCGAAGTGACTGTGCTCTACCGGGAAGCTGTGGATGGCATCATCGTCCTCTCCTGCTCTGCTACAGGCTTCTACCCCAGCTGCATTCTGTTGCACTGGCAGAAGGGTAGGGACATAATTGCAGCAGGGAAGCAGAGTTCCAGCAGCACACTGCCAAATGCTGATGGCACCTTCTACCAAAGAATCATCATTGAACTCCCACCGGGGGACCCAGGGACCAATTATGATTGTGTGGTAGACCACATTGAGCTAGGAACACCAAAAGTATTTCCTGGTAAGTGTCAGACTTGAACTTGCTGGTCAGAGCCCCAGGAAGATAGGCAATGAAATATTGCTGACCCCTGCCCTTTCCCTTAGCTTCTCCAGAATGGACCCATAGGGGCAGGTTCCCTTTGGTGTACTCCCCATTACTATTTGGGAAGATTCTCACCTATATTAACTCTCTGCTCTTTACTCCTATACTCTTTAGTACCTGGAAAACCTCCTAAGAAGAGGACCTGGACTGTGACACTCAGCATTCTGGGGGTTGTCATCTTTGTGCTGAGCTGTGCTATGTCCTTTATTCAGTGGAAGAAGACAAATACAGGTGTGTGTCTGAGGAGAGAAGGAATAGGACAAGAATTGTAGGTCCCAGGGAATGGAAGACATTGATGTAGGAACTGAAAAAAAGGGCTTTGTGAAAAGAATCCCATAAAGTTCAGGGATACTGCCAAGGTCAACTTGTCCACACTGTACCTGACTGAACAACAACTCTGACAAGTAGGCGATCTGCCTTGAATTAATCACAACAGGTATGGAGGACTCATTACCTTCTGTGGTAGCTCACTCCCCTTTTGAACTACCCTAATTGTTACATATATTTTTTCTTACATCAAAGCAAAATTTCTCCTTCCTTTCTTAACCCCTGGTGATTTCTGCTTATGGCTCCTAGTTCTATTCTTTGGTGCCACATCTAACCCCTCTTCCGTGCGGCAGCCTTGCAAATACTTAAAGGCAGCTATCAGACCTTTCCTAAATCTTCTCCTCTCCAGGCTAAACATGATTCTCCCCAAATTCTCTCCCCAAATCACAGAATTTGAAAGCTCTAAGATACTTCATGGTCAGTCTAGTCTAAGCTGGACACAAAAAGTATTGTTCAAAGCCTCCTCACATGGCATGACATCTAATGCTGTCCCTATTAGGGTAGACTTCCAGATATGCTACAACTTGTCAACATCCTTTCTAAAATGTGGCTCTGGACACAATACTCCAGATGGGCTCTGACCAGGCAGAAGACTGTGGGAACCTCTCTCATTCTGCATAGTACATCTTTCTGTTAATTTAACTTAACATGATATTCACTTTTTCAGCTGTTCTGACTCAAATTGAGCTTGCAATCCAGTTCCACACTTGGGTTTTTTTACATGCACACACTGTTGTACAGTCATGCCTCCCTTAACCTGCTGTTAGCAGCTTACAACTGATTTTTTATTTTATTTTATTTTTTTGGGGGCTAGGCAATGGAGTTAAGTGACTTGCCCAGGGTCACACAGCTAGTAAGTGTTATGCGTCTGAGGCCAGATTTGAACTCATGTCTTCCTGAATCCAGGGCTGATGCTCTATCCACTGCACCACCTAGCTGCCCCTACAATTGATTTTTAAAATCCGAACTTCAGACTTTACATTTAGTCTTATTATATTTCATCTTATTAGCTTTGGCTCATGTTTCTATTCTGTTTTGATCTTTTCAGATTCTGACTGTCATCCAGCATGGGAGCTCTCCCTTTCAGCTTTGTGTTGTCTGCCAGCTGATAGGATGCTAGTTATGACTTCATTAATTTCATTGATTAAACAATGCTGAAGATCATAGGTCTAAAGATAGATGCTTGGGGCTTTGGTCCACTTGGCAGGGGAGAACTTGACCCTATCCTTAGGGACCCACAGATCTAACTGGGGAGACGTACTCCTCATGCGCAGGCAGCTCCCAGCCTGATTTTCAAAATGCACAGTCCCTGTCTCTGGGGAAGAGACAGTTTGAGATCAGGTGTGGTCCTGCCTAGAGACAGGGACATGGAAGAGCCACATTTCCAGATCCTCTCTAGACTTAACCTTTTTTGTCACTCGAATTGTATTGCAGGCTACAGCATCCATGAATGTGCCACAATGGAAGGTGAGACACAGGCAGGGAGTGGGGTGGGGGAGGGGGCAGAGGGGAGTGGCTGGAGAAGACCAAGAAATATAAGATATCCCTATCCTCCAAGAACTTATGACTCCTGGGGCAGGGCAGAGAAGGATTCCATCTAATGGGGCAAAGAAGCTGGGAAGGGAATTGGGTATGGTTGTGAGTGTGTGTGTGTGAGTAAATGCCAGATTCCTCATCTGTCGTCCTTTACCCACCCATGATGGGCCTTTGGAATGGAGGTGGGACATGGGCACAGAGCGATCCTCCCCTGTTAGCTGTTTTCTCAGGGTCAGGCTTCAAGGGAGAATATTTGCCTGGATATAAGAAAGGTGGGAACCTCACATTTTCCCCTCAGACATACAGATGGATATTCAAGAACACTAGAATATTCTGCAGTGCCGGCCTTGGAGAAACAGAAGACCAGCCACTGCTGCTATTTGCCTGCCCTTGCTGACCTTGAGGAAGAGAAGTCTAATTGGAATGAAGAACCCCTCTTGGTGCCAGCCAGCCTGTTGTCCTCCCTGTCCTCAGTGGCTTCCCTCTTCTCTCCCAACTCGGCCGTGTGGCTCCTGCTGTTCTATTGAACTGCTTAAAGGCAGAGCCCAGGAGTAGAAGGCCCTGGGTTTGGAATCAGGGGGCTGGGGTTAATTGGGCCTGTGACAATCGTTGTGTCATCATGGACAAGTCACAACTGCCTGAGCCTTAGCTGCTTTCTAAGGCAAGCTTGAGATTAGGTTGTGATACGCCTATGTGGAAGGATGCCCTAAGTCTCCCACCAACAGATTCACAGAGCTTTGTTTATGTGATATGTGAGTATCACAGTTTAGTGAGCAGCTAGGTGGTATGATGGTTAGAGCATGGGGCTTGGAATCAGAATGATTCATTTTCATGAGTTCAGATTTAGCCTCAGACATTTTCTAGCTGTGGGACCCTGGATAAGTCACTTAATCCTGTTTGCCTCAATTTCCTAATCTGTAAAGTGAGTTGGAGAATAAAATGGTAAACCACTCCAGCATCTTTGCCAAGAAAACCTCAAATGAGGTCACAGAGGATCAGACGTGACCGACAATAACGATTTCTGTACTTCTCAGTGTGAGGGCTATTTTCACAGGGGCAAATCGCAAACCAACCAAGCCCTCTCATCCTATGCAATTCTGCTCTTGTCCCATTTTTATGCAAGTTCTCTGTAGAGGCTGAGTAACGATATTAGCTCAATCAAACAAGTAGCCATTAAGCACTAACTATAAGGCAAGACACTCTACCAGGTACTGGAAAAACAAAGGAAAAAGCAGAATCCCTGCCCTCCAGCAGCTTACCTTCTAACGAGGGAGACACAAACAGAAATAACTATTTCCAAACCCAGACCCATACAAAAGAGAAACAACTCACTTTTCATTCATTGTCTCAGTACATACTCATGACCACTTTATAATTAAGGCTGTTGCAGCATAATGAGGTCTACGCAGTCCTACTTTTTGCTGAATGTTATCTCTGGCAGATCTTAATAAACTGGAAAAGCCTTCAAGGATAGTTCATTGACCAAGGACCAGCCTGGCTAACAACACAGAAGCTCCTCACCAGCTTTGTGGCCATGAGATAAATTTTACAGCCAGAACAACTCTTAGGGTCCATTAAGTACATCATAGAGGGGTTACCATCTGTGTTGAAGGAGGGAGGACCCTCACAGGTGAAATCACTAATCATTAAAGGTTTATATTACAGTAAAATGTTATTATCCAAGCTGGGAGTGTCTGCAGGCCTGAGGCTTAAGCAATATGTGGGAAAAGATGTTTTGCTTTTTAAAAAAAAATATTTTTAGTTTGTGGACTAAAATAAGCTTTTCCATAACAGAGTATAATAAAAAGATGATTGTACAAGAAACAGCAAATCTGCTATATACAACTTGCTATTCCTTTCAAATATACAACAAAGTTATAATGTGAATTTCTTTCTTTTCTTCCCTCCTCACCCTCACCCTAGAGATGGCTGGCTACCATTAGACACAAATACATACATACATACACACACACACACACACACACCACACACACAATTATTCTATATATCAGTTCTTTCTCTGAATGTGGGGAGTGTCTTTCTTCACAGTTAATCTGGGCATTTATAATAGTCAAAATGACTTATCCATTCAAAGTCATTCTTCAAACAATATTGCTGTTACTGTAAACAACCTTCTCTTGGTTCTGCTCATTTCACTCTTTATTATTTCATGCAAGTCTTTCCATGGTTTTCTAAAGACAGGATAGTTTTCATAACCTCATACAGTCTCAGAATGGGAAGAAGCCTCACAGAACATGTAGCTGAACCCTTAACCAAATGAGAATTCCATAACGATATTCCAGATAGATGGTTGTACAACTTCTATTTGTGCTCAACAGCTCACAGGAGAACCGAAAGGCACCTTAGAGACCATGGCATGCAAACACCTCTTTTTACAAATGAACAAACCAAAGTACAGAAGTATTAAGTGATTTACTCAGGGCTGCAGAGCTAGTATAATTGAGGCAGGATTTGAACTCGTGTCTTCTTGACTCCCATCCCAGCCCTCTATCTACTATAGTTAGGTTCTAGTTAGTATATTTAATGAATCCCCTGAGTGCATGAAGGTGTTTGAAATGATAACTAATTATAATTATGTAATAATCTCAATATTATGTCATATGCTAATTATACAATAAATGGAATTATAATTATTTAAAATACAGTAATTAGTTACAGCCTGTGGGAGTTCGAATAATGTGACCATGGCAGGTGATTCATTATTTGCAGTAATTGGGACCAATCTGTACTCCACATTATCTCTTCTTCACTAAAGGGAATCCATTACCTTATAAGGCAGCTGTTTCCATTTTTTTTACCCCTCTCAGTGTTTATAATAACAATTTTTATTTACACAATACTGTAGCGACACTTATTTACACAAAGCACTTTGCCCAGGTTATCTCCTTTGATCCTCACAAACAACCATATGTGGGAAGTGCTATTATTTTTCCCTTTTTCCAGTTGAGGAAACTGAGGCACAAAGGAGAGAAGGGATTTATTTATGGTCACAATTTTCATGTCAGAGACAAAATTTGAATTTAGGTCATCCCTGACTCTGCATCTGTTGCTCATTTCGCTGTAGTCCATTGCTCCAACTTAAAGCAAGCTTAAATTTCTCTCCTTGTATCTTATACTCATTGGTGTTAGCTGTGCCCAGGATTGTGGGATGAGGCTTTTGTCCAGAAAATTTTGATGATCCCTGAAAATATAACCTGGGTCCCTCATTCCATGCTCAACCTGACATCAGAATTACACACGTCCAAAATCTTTTTGCACAAATGATGTCATTGGGCATTTTATGGGAATAGGTGTTTACACCCCAGGACAGAGTTTGGAGAATGAGACAAGGACTTGCTTTTTTGGTGGCCAGGAGAGAGGGCTTAGTTTGGACTGGGAGACACTGATAATTACAGTGATAGATTATATTTATAAAATGATCGATGGCTTCCAAAGCACCTTACAAATATTATACTCTTATTTCACCCTCCTAAAACTCCTGGAAAATTGGTACTATCATTATTGCCATTTTATAGATGAGGAAATGGTCTCAGAGAAATTGAACCACAGAACTAACAAGTAGAAAGGATGATGTTTGTACCCCTATCTTTCTGATTCTGAAATCACCTCTTCTTCTACTACATCAAATTTCAAGGTGACCCTGAAATAAGGGAAACTTCTCATGAACCAAGAAAGACCTGGACCTTGGCAGGGAAAGCTCTGGACTCAGAGCAGATATTGGTAGGAGGAGGGGGTCTGCCCAGAGATATCTATGGCCCAGGTGGTGAAACATCTCCCTAGCCTGAGAAAACTCAGCCTTTAACCATTTTTTTTTTTGCCTGTCGTTGCCAACATAAGATTCTTCCTGTCCAAAGCACTGTATTTGGTTGCTTCAGGGATGTTCCTATAACATTTTCCTGTTAAGGACAGAGGTAAAGGAGATAAGAGAAACTCCCCTCAACCCCTAGGAGGAGGCCTTGGGGAGTGATGGCAGAAATTATTGTTTAGTCCAGAGACACCAGGAAATAGTACTGAGAATGTTGTTAAGTCGTGTCTGACTCTTTGTGACCCCAGTTGGGGTTTTCTTGGCAAAGATACTGGAGTAGTTTGCCATTTGCTTCCCCAGCTCATTTTACAGATGAGGAAACTGAGGAAAACAGGGTCAAGTGCCTTTCCCAGGGTCTCACAGCTAGTAAGTGTCTGAGGCCAGATTCAAACTCATGAAGATGAGTCTTCCTGACTTCAGGCCCAGCACTCTATTCACCATGTCACCTAGATGCCTAGTACCAATGATGGGGAATGGCAAATCAAAGCTGAGCTCTACTTTGTCTCTGTGCATTGCCCCCCATCTAAAGAAAATATGTTGTCTGATCTTGACCTACATTCACAAAGGCATTCTTTCAGCAATGGCATGAGAGAAGCTCAGAGTTAGAAAGATTCTCATCTACTGTCCAGTCCACCTGGTGCTTCCTCTACTGCATACTTGACAAGTGGTCATCCAGATTGTGCTTGAAGACCTCCAGAGAGATGGAACTTTCCAGAAGCAAGTTGTTCATTTTTTGGAAACAAATTCTATCCAACTGTTGTCCTGTACTTCCCTCCATCCCCACCCCAATCCTCTGCACTGAATGTGTCAGCCATCTCTGTTCTGCCCTGTGTACCTCCCCTGGGGAAGAGCCCTTTAAATCTTGGTCACTTTTGCCAGTGCCTCACTCCTCTCTTTCCTCAGGAGGCAAAGGCCTACCCACCTTGGGGGCACAATTAGTCATGACTAGCCACTCTCTAATTCCAGGGGCCCCACTCTGGCAGGCCAGATCCTTGACTTTGACTCTGACCACTAATCTGATCTGCGAGTTCCCTAGCCTTGGAACTCTGTGGCACTGTGGCTGCTTTGACTCTTGGACAAATCTGCTTGATTTAGGCAGCCACAGTTTGAAAAGCTGACTGGTTAAAGTCAATGACTGGGAAGAGAAGGTTGCTGGCCAAAGTCTGGGCATTGTGATGTTTAATAGAAGGGAAGTTTCTCCAACATGAGAGAAGATGGAACATGAGAGATTTGCTAGCAGGGGAAGTATGTTGTAATCATGGGGAACATAAAAAAAGACATGGGTCTTTCTCCAGGCATTTGTGGTCTCACATTCCAGTAACAGCCTCATAGTGTCTGTGGTTCCTGGGGGTGCTGTCTGATTTCCAAGTCAGAATGGAAGTTTGAGTCTGAGCTGTGAGACTCTTCCATGTCCCACAGTCTGTGGTGAACTTGCTGCCAGCCACCATCAGAGAAGTAAACAGTTATATGTTTGGTACATTAAGGACAGCCACGCCACAGGTTGTGAGTCAATGTAAGGTGGGAGTCCCAAAGAAGAAGAAGAATTCATCCATGAAGTATGGGGAGAGGTCACTTGTCACAAAGCCCATTGGTCATTCTGTATCTCAAGTGAGTAAACCGTTATGTCATTAACTCACGGCCCGAGCAATGAGGCAATATGATGGACGGCTTCCCTACCTTGTCAGTACAGTGAGGTCTTTCAAAGGAGATCTTACTCATTCTGATGGACAAAGAAAAGTCAGTATTGATCCCCATGTCCTGAATAGGACACACAGGTTCATACACTGGAATGAGGCAGAGTGGGACATCAAAGTGGTAGAAATCTAAAAACTGGCTCCATAGATGGGGAGAATGAAGTAGGAAACATTGCCTGTGACTGTCTTTGGAAGGTTCCTTGTCTTGGTCCTAAAAATAACCCAGAAATTGAAGTGGCTGATATGTTACAGAGTTAATGCATACCGACAAGGCAGCTCCTTATATGACTGTCTTCCTTGCTTTTATATTGCTG